AAAAAATAGAATATTATTTTTGAAATCTGCGTAGCTGAATTATGGGAAAAATCCATTATTAAAACCAAAAGGAAATTTATGAAATTTAAATTTGCAGGCCTGTGTAATTTTTTTTAAAGCAAATAAGGTGTTTGTGTAGCCTATGTAGCATAGTATGTTTATTCTGTGATTAATCACAGTTCAGTTTTTATTATTAATTAACACTTGTTCACATGTATCCTGTACTCGTTGCTTACACTAAAAGCAGCTGTATGACTATCGAACAGCTTCTTCTCCCTGTGGGTTCCCATGTCAGAGCCGGAAAATTAATTGATATGATCAATCACCAATGAACATTGGTTTAAATCAGTGTCAGATAAAATAATTAACAAAATGAGGATTAAATTGATTGTTATGAAAATAATCAACTTATTGAAATTAGTTTCCAATTATTCCAACACTCCAAGTAATCAAATATTGCTATTATGATTCCTCATAATTCTTTTTGATTAATTCAAAGTTGTACTGCTTAATTGATTAGTGTTATGGCTCACGTAAATAATCAATTAATTGAAGTTGGTGTTTCCAAATGTTACTATTTTTGATTATTCCAACTATCCAAGTAGTTGAATGTAATCAATTAATGAACCCAATGATTAATTGATTAGCAAATTCCACTAATTATCTTGCTCTGTCTCTGATCTTGTTACTCTCATTTATAGTAACAACTAGCTTACTAGTATTAGCATCTTTTCTGGGGGAACCAAGGGGTTGTCAATAAGCAGTAGCTTTTGTCTGTATTGTTAAAATAAAAGTATGCATGGCTCTAACACACATAATCCAGTCATTATATTCTGCTACTTCAGTAAGGTGTTAATGCATTATTGTACCTTAAAACTCATCATACTGGAAATGCTAGGTGTTGCTGTAAATTGTAGATGGATTTCCTTTAAAAAATTAAAGGAGGAGTTATTGCCATATTTAGAAAATTTTCACAGTAGGTTAAATGAAGCATCTAATGAGGTTGGTTAAATGTTTATTTTGCACACACGCTTGTCAGTGCTTTTTTTTTCAGTGAACTTTAAAATTAAGTACCAAAATAATCCTGTGAAGTTTCAAGGTAAAAAAGAAATTAAAAACAAAATCATAAAATTTATGTTAATATTCAACAAACAAAACAAAAGACATTTTTTCATATCTAGTTAGTGATTTAAGGATTTGGAACTACTTGCCTAAATCACTTTTCCGGGGCAGTTGTTATTATTAAGATTTGATTATTATTTTGTATGCCCTACAAGTAACAGTTTTAGATCATGCTATGAATGATGTGATGTAGTAGGCTTTTAACAATCTTGGGACTTACTGATGGTTTGGGGATATTTCAAAGAAATAAAACTTGTATCTTAAAACATCTCTAGGTTTCAGCTATTGAGAGACTTTAAGTCCAAAGTCTTGGGCATCAAAAGCAGATGATCTTTATAAAAAATAGTCAAATTTTTAGTGTTACAGGATATGAACAAATGGAATTAAAGCCTCCCTTGTATAACTTTTTTTTTAAAGACAAAAGTCACTTAATAACTGTCTTGGTTCTGATCTGTAAGAGTAAGTATGAATCCTTTACTAGTCATTGTTTTCATAACTTGATAAGTATACAGTTATAAAATTTGTATTCATAAATTGGCTACAAAGTACTCTTGTATACTTTTCTAGTTGCTGGAGAAATTATGCTTAATACTTTACTTCAGTTATAGATGTCATGGTTAAACTTGTGAAATTACTTCTTGTATATACAGTTAGTAAAAAACATTTCCATAACATAGAGTATAAGAAATGCCAATTCCAAGCACTTAAGATTTTATTCATTTTATATTTTCTCTGCTTAGTGAAAACTATAATAAACCAAATTATTTCTTTTAAACTGATACATGCATGTTTTCTTGTCTTATGTATACAGCTGCTAGAGGGAGAGGAAGAGCTCGGCCAATTTTCCAGAGAAGAAAATAAATCTCCAGCCACGAGTTTGTGTATCATATTTTAAGTCATTATATGCCATAATCATCTCCACTCCATTATCTTTGGATTGCCAGGTTTTCATAGTTAAATGTTTCACATTAATTTTTTTTTCACTTGATGTGCTTGCTTCATAAGGAATAAAAAAATGTTTGGTACTAAAAGTTATGTGACAGTTAAGATTCCAACAGCACAGCCACAATATAACTTTGAGATTGTAAATGAATATAATTTAGTTATATTGTTTTTAATTACACTTTATGTCATTATGTTTTAAAACTACTGTTGTTGAGACACAGGATCTGTTCGACCATGTGACTCAAGGATCCACAAGTTTAAATGTTAGATCTATAGCACGTTTGATATGCAACTTCATTCAGTTTTGAAAAAAATTATTGGCAATTTGTGTGCCTTCATAAACAACAAAACTTGTTTTTACACATGTAAGAAGTTGGTAAAGAGATAACTTTATTTGCATACAAAAATGTACAGTACTGTATTCACTTAACTTCTCGATATTAAAATATTACATACAGGAACAACAGATTCAACCATTCATTACAAGTTAACTGTTTTTCTTGATCTGGGATGTCTATCTGAAACTTGTTGATCATAGTTTTATTTGAAGTGCTGATTGAAAGATATGTCTAATTGACCCAAAGGTTTGTTTATGCATGATACTAGGCAATCATATCCTGCAGAAGACAGCTAATTACTTCTTTAACACATTGAAAATTAGTATAGATGACAAAAATTAAAGTCGGACTTATCAAGAGTTGTATTAGACATTTTTGGTGTCAGCGATGGATTGAAATGGATTAATCAGAGACAAACTTCGTAATTTTTTGAATGAAGCTGGTGAAATTTTTTGCTAGTTTTATAATAAAAAACCTCTCAGATAGGGGTCTTACATTAACAAGCATATTAACCCTTTCACGATGGGGTTGGTATAATATACTATAACTTTTAAGGCAGTAAGTGTATCTTAACAAAATTTGAGTAGACTTTTAGTAAAGATTACAAGTCTTTCGTACATGCCCCCCAGTGGAACAGTGGTATGACTGCGGACTTACAATGTTAGAAACATTGCTTTGTGTAACTTTGTGATTAACTTCAAACAAACTAACTTTCGTACACAAAAAATTGGATTTTTTAATATAGTACTTTTATTATAACTTGTTTTTGAAAATATTTTGTCTGTTTCGTTACCAGTCCTAGTGCGAAGTGATTTTCATGTTATAACTAAAAACAATTGTTCGTCCCAAAAATCTCAAATATTATTTGCATAATCTCTAAAACCTCCTAAATACATTTCAAATACTTGTTTTCAGTTATTTTCTTTATCTTAACTCTATGGGGTCTGTCAATTTGACAGGCTTCGTAACCACCAAAAAAAAAATTAGGAAAAAAATATAAATTATGCTTTTTTCATTCTAGAATGACTTCAAATTATAACACAAAAACACAAAATTTTAGTCTAAATAGCTTAAATCTCGTAACATTATACATATTTATTATATTGACCTTTCAGCCATGCACGGCTAACAATACAGAAGTTACAATGATGCGGCCACGTGCACTCGTGATTCCATAACCAATAATATAAAACTGGCCTTTACAATGTGACCTGTCTTGGTTGTGTTTTAGTGGACTAGTATTTTGTAAACTAGTCACATTTCAATTATTATATATATCTATATACATTAATACTATTTACAAATAAGTTCTTAAATTTATTTTTCTTAAAACAGATGAGTAAATAAAGAAGTAAAGTAAACAATTATCTCTTTTAGAGACAACCTTTGTACTTGTTTTCTGCTTGTTGTAGGTTGCTAAGCCTTATGAAATTTTCCACGTTGAGGATGTGAAAAGAAATTTTTTTTAGGTTTAATATATACATTTTAAATAATAATAAAATCCTATGTTACAATTTTAATACCATAGAATTCCATTATAATATAATACAATAACTACACTGTATTTCGGTTTAAAAAAAATTAAATTTCAAGTAGACTCAAGATGCAACCTACATCCTTGAAATCGTTTTGAAAGAATGAGATGGTGTCCTAACACATAAAAATGGCTGAGAAAGCAACAAGGGGACATTCTGAGCTTTCGATTAGTTATGTCACATATAAAAGTGTATATAAGGGAGCATTTCCAAAAATGGAAAAAGGTGGGTGGGGAGCCACTGTGTTTGATTCAATACATGAGCAATATCTTAGCAAATAGAAAAGAGTTTATTTTATATTCTAGGTTTTCAATATCAGTAGTTTGAGTTCCTAATTTGTACAAAACTGTAGATTTTGTATTTTGACATCACAAACATCTGATTTGAACCAGTGCTGCATTCAAACTAGCATGTGACACACAAAAATTGATGTTTAACTGTTTTTTAATATTTACTTTTAAATTAAGAAATTAAGTAACATATAATACTAAAATTTTAATTATAATCTACAATTTGATACCAAACTTACACATAAAATAGTAGTTCAATAAACAAACACAATGATATGGCCTTTGACATGTGACCTGTCACGATAGGGTTAAATGGACACTATATTAAAAACAAGGAATCTTGCAGAATTGTGCATATGATTGGCAGTTTCTTAAAATCCAATCACCCAATTGAACTTTGGAGTGTTGGTTCTGCTAGTTAAACAAGGCTATCATGACAGTGAAGACTAAATTCCCTGTATTGATGTGCATAAGGTGTTTACAGCTAATAAGTGATAATAGAAAAAAGTCACATTGATAAATAGAATAGGTATATAACATTGTGTTCATCGAGTATTATAATTCATGAAACAATAATATAAATACTTTAATTTTGTCTTTAAACGCATTTGGTAGACTATTATAAAAGGAACAAAAACTGGTGACACAGGTACTGGTTGTTATGACTTTTGTCTCTGTACTCATAGATTTGTTCTGGAAACTGTAGGCAGATAAAAAGTCCATAACATAATCAAAATGGAAAGGCATGTTTTTTGGTCCATTAAAAAAATTGGCTATAACAAACAAACAGTTATTATGTCAAATATCTTAAACATCCGATTTTCTAATCTGAACCACTCATAAAATTAAAATAGGTTTGTTTTCCCAAGGAATATTTACCAACTTGTCAGTTTTTTTTTATAGGTTCTGTCATTATCAAACCTACCAACTCTTATGATTTAGGCATAATTGTTTCAATTTTTTTTTTCTATTTATGCCTGTATGAATTGTAGTGATTTTACTAATTTATGCAACATTCCAGAATTTTTTCATGGGCCTTTTTTTAAATTAACAATTTTCTGATAATAATTCTCTACTCTTTGCTTTGCATCTCAATCTTACAAGTGCTTCAAATAGTATATTCAAAAGCATTTAAGTAGTAAGTATCTAGGGTGCCCTGATCATTTTTGAAAGGAAAAACATGGTTCTGCTTTATACCCAATGACTCCAAAGAAAAAAAGTTTATAGTGAGCAGAAATTTAGGCTGAGTATTCAAAAAAGTTCAATGATACTGTATTATCCTCAAAGGGTATGAATTATATAAGATGTACATCTTGTGTTTGTGATTTCTCCATTGCTCATGGAGGTGAAAATGACATCATAAAACATCTCAACACAATTAAACAGCAAAATTGTTCGAGGACATCTGGAATAAATAAACTGGACTCACTTTTTGTAAAACTCCATACCAAATCAGATTCAGTGCTCATAAGGAAGATGGAGATGGCACATAAACAGTGTTAGGGTAGAGAACATAAAATTTTATTTAAAAAATGTTTAACATTTGTTTAAGAGGTTTTAGATATTTTGAGGAGAAGAAAAGTATTTTTAAACTTAACATGAAAATCACTTTGCACTCAAATTAATAAACAAAACTACTCGGTATATTCACAGACAAATCTTTAATAAAAAATACTTAATTAAAAAATCTTATTTGTTAACTTGTGATATTGTGCACGAAAGTCTTAATGTTTACTGAAAGCTTGCAAAATTTCATTAAGATAAAAAAAAAAATATATATATATATTAAAAGTTATACTATGGAAACTATTGGAGTTGCCTGTAGCGAGAGGGTTAAAAGTCAGTATATTATTTGAGCTTCATTAAATCATGATCATAATTTGCTACAAACCTGAGTCACTTGCATTGGTGAGCACTGCACCAATTTGCAATGCTGTTGTATTATTCTTTAATCAAGACAATATTCCATGGTTCAACCTAGTGTCAGTACTAATAAAGTCCCGTAGTGTGATGCATGATGGAGACTTGGGTTCACGTCTATAACAGGTGATGTCATCAATACAAGATGTACTTCATTAAATTTTGGTACATACAACGAACCATGAAGTATCAAATCTTTGTTCAGTATTTCAAACATGATGTTTACAGCCTGCTCCAGTCAAGAAAACTGAGCAGGATACTAGGTTGGCTCATTATAAATAACAAGAATGAATTATCATTGGAACTGTAATATCAGGAAACATCGACAGAAAAAAAAAAAAGGATACTAAGTCTAAAATAAAATTGTGATGGATTATTATGCACAGTATGACTGCATGATGAAATAATATACTTCACATACAAGATTAAAATGGTAACTTGCAAAAGTTTTTCCATTACTTTATCTTGTGTTACTGAGGTTTACAGTTTGTTAATATTCCAAAAAGCAACACTCAAGGATCCAACCAACTTATAATGTATATGACTGTAGTACAACTTCTAAATTGATTAATCACATCAGTAAAAATATGGTTTTGAAGTGCTGACAGCCCATTGTTTTGCCTTGTGTTTAACAACAAAAATAATGGCAATCTTTCCATTAGTGGATAGCTGTAATAGTCAGAAACGCTAATTTCAATTAGTTGATTATTTTTACAACACTAATATATTTAGTCAAAATTTCTATTACTGTATGGTTGGAATGTAATTCCAATTAATTTATTATTTTTATGACAGTCATAATTTTGATTACTGGATAGTTAGAATAATCAGAAATCCTTGATTGATTTTGTGACATTTACCAATGTAATTGATAATCATTGGTAAATGAGTTAATCACCCAGCTCTATCCTACAGTATATAAATCTTGAAAGTTTTGTCCATGAGTTACCATTTTCGGCTCATATTTTGTCTGCCTAACCCAGACCTCTTCCACATGCACATACAAACCCTTTAGGCTTGATCATACCTTTCCCTGTCCTCAACCCTGAAAACTTTACTAAAAGTGTAGAATATTCAGGTATTATTTCTTAACACTATGAAGGAAACTAAATTACTGATAAACAATTTTTAATTTCATGTACTTTTTTAAATACATCTTTTTAGAATGACCATTTGTTATAACATTTACAATACATGCCTACAATTGTTAGAATACAAACAATGTCCTATTAACTTATTTATTCCTTTTTTATGTACAAAATATGAGTATAACAGTTTCTGGTGGCTAAACAAATAAGACTGATAATTAATTCAGAGTATACTACTTATTAAATACAAGAAAATCACTTAGAAACAGATATGCTTACCATAATAAAGTCTGTAATATTATTTGATTATTAATTAAAAACATTGACAGATTTCTGTTGAAATTTACGAGGCTGCTAAAAGGAATCAAAGCGTCAACAAACCAAAGACAGGAAAAGCATAAATATGTGAAGAAAATCTATACATATATTGAAACTATGAAAATAAAGATCAAATCTTTGGCCCATTCTCACAAGACATGGTTGTAATTCTCACTCTCATGGACACTTTTGTCATCAGCTTGCAAACAAATTCCAAAGAGGCTGAATCTAAGCCTGTCAGTTTTAAATCAAAGATTTATGTTTTACAAAACTTTTTGGAATATTATTTAGTGCTTCGTATCCTTCCAATATGAGAAGACTCTCTTCCTTCACGTGTCAGACTACTCCCTCCACGGCGGTCATCTTCATCATCACTCGTGTATGAAGCCATTGCAACAGCTCCACGAGTACTGGTGGCCTGCATCAATTCCGCATCTGGCCCTGTCCTGTTCTCATAAAGCAGGATATTTAAAGTTTCCTCATAAATGCGTGCCTCATGAAATTCAACCTGTTAGACACACAAAGATAACACAAACCTTGTTAATATATATATATATATATATATATATAAATACCTAATGTGCCATGTTTTTATCATAAATAAACAAATGCACGATACAAGTTTCTTAAATATGCTTAATTTACAGATTTTTACTTCATATTTTTTCATTTTAAAATAAATAAATTAAGAAAAAGAATGTAGAGTTAGATTTGATAAATAAATGTAATTATCTAAAATTAACCACTATTCTTGACACAGTAAACAGACAAACATCTCTTTTGGGATATATTTATGTATTTACAGAGGTCTGAGAAAACTTTTTAGTATTGACTATATTGAAACACAAGAGATCCTCAAAAAATATGCAGGTAACAACATATGCTCAATTCTCTGTTGGTATTACTCAACAGGATTATCACCATCACTTATAGGAACAGAAAGAAGTGAAAGTAAAACATTGAATAGAAAAAAAAAGTGTGAATGAACTAGAGATTTCCAAAACTAAAAAAAAGAAATGTTTGTTTAAAGATATTTATACTCTGGTTACTGAAGCTGATACCTACCTGGTGAAAGCTGAGAAAAAGGGTGACCTAATACTTGTCACCAAAGGTAATGCTATAAGACTGAAAGAAAAAGAGCAAATACAGGTTCTAATTGCAGAGTTTGTACAAGTTAAATTGATGGCAATAAACTCAAGAGCTTTACTTGTGTATGTAAAGAATTTGAAACTAAGCAGATAGTTAGTGTTCAAGACATAGACTATCTTAATTTTTAAACGTGTTACACGAGGGATAATGGTTGTGAAGATTGTTAATTCATAATATTCAAATAACTTTAATTTGTTAATGTTAATATGTTCTGTTAAACGGAATGATGATAGTTATTTGTTAGTAATATATACAATGCTTTTAGCTGAATAGTTAAGTACATTTTTGAGGTTATCATCATTTGATGTTTTCTATCATATGAAACCAACAAAATAAAATTTGCTGTCAAATGATTTCATGTGTAGCTACACATTTTGCTGTTTATTCCATTTCATATTTTCCCTGAAGATCTTAAACGTTTTGCTATTTGTTTTAGTCACTAAAGATTTATAATCAGTGAAAATTACTAAGGATAAATGACACTAATAACACAAGTTGTAACATTCAGATAACTCTTTTCAGCATGAGTTCCATCCCTGAGATCGACCTCATAACCATTTTGTACTTGTTATAGTTTTCATGCTATAACTTTTTAATTAGTAAGTGAATGTTAACGAAATTTGGCAGATTATCAGTAAACATTTCAATGCTTCCTTAAACAAAATACCTATTTTTTTTTTATTATGTCTTAAGGTTTGTAAAACAATGTTTTTCTCATGCCATTTTTTTTCTTTTTGCACATTGCCTATCTGACATACAAAGTAATTTTCATTTTAAGATTTAAAAATACTTTTATGTATCAGAAAATTTTAAAATTTCACAGGCAAAATCTTTTTAATCTCCAGATAGTTCTCACATGTTTCTTAACTTTATATTTTATCTGTTATTTTCAGTAATGAATCTCTAGATGAGTTTGGTAGATTTGACCGATCTCATAACAACCATAAAAAATTAGGAAAG